CGCTGCAGGCAGCCGGGCAGAAGGGTTAATGCTGAACTTGCCAGACTGCAGGCAGGGCTGGGGAGACAGGGCGAGATCTATCTTATTCCGGGATGAAAAATCGCAAGGTGTTCTCACCCCCCCCTCGCCCGCCCTCGCTATTTTCCACCCTACCGGCAACTGTAATAGATCTGAGCATTTAAGCAATAATGAAGTGAATCGATCTGCCCAAACTCTGCATTAAAGAGGACACAACACTTTATGTCCCTGCGCTAATGGACATCAATTTGGAACTTAAAAGGCAACAAATGCATCTAAACATGGGAAGGAGGGTGGTGAGCCTCTATTATTTTTCTTCCCCCCCCCTTTTTTTTTTTTTTTTTTTTTCCCTGATTGAGGAAACAGCACTTAAAGAAGTCATATATCACCAGGGGAAAAAAAATTCTCCCCAGGCAGACTTTTCATTATGTGCGAGTTTCATTAAAAATGTAGCCCTCTCCTTTCAAATATTTAAACACCTTTATATTATTTAACTCCAGATGGGGTAGCCAGCGAGAGAGGGAGCTGCGTGGGGGTGCGGGTCCGTGCGTGTGTAAAGTCATCCAGATCTGATTTAGAAAAGATATCTCCCTGTGCGTGTGGGGGAAAGACAGAGACAAATCGTTGTAGCTGAGTGACACGCAAACTGGAATGTGGGGGGAAGAAAAAAAAAAAAGGGGGGGGGGGGGGGAAAAACAAAAAAAAATTAGTCAAAATTTTATTTGTTAACTTACCATTATATTTTTCTTATGACGTTTTTCTTTAATATGCTTGTGAGCTCCCTGGATATTTTCAATATGAACTAAGCAGAGCTTGCATAGATACTGACAGTTGGTGTATTCCGGGGAGCGCTGAGGAAAAATAGCCATAGATTAAAAGAAAATGTTTCTGTCAATAGCGTCTGAAACAGTAACAAATAAGAAAGGGGGGGAGGAGATTGATGTATTTATTTCTGTAAAAGAGTAAACTCACTATTGCAAGAGTTCATCCGCTGCATCCAGGGGTAAACCGGGGCGGAACACTTTTGCTCCTCGCTCTCTCCGAACACAGTTTTGCTCTGCGCGCAGTCCGACTTGCGCGGCTCGGGGGCGAAGGGCCCCTCGTCCAGGGCGGGGGGGCCGCAGGCAGGGCCCCTCCCCCCGGAAAACCCCGCCGGCCCCATAGTCACAGGCGGAGCTGCGGCTGTAGGCTCCGTTGCTTTGCTGGTAGTAAGGAGAGGAGGTATAGCCCTTCTCCTGGACGCCCGTGGCTCCATAGGTGGTGGGGTAGTGCCTCAAAGGATCCGCATAGCCCGAGGGATATAGCGGGATCTGTCCCAGGAAGGGCTCCTGCCCCGCCGCCAGACTCACCGGGAAGGTCGAGTTGACAAAATAAGAACTCATTGGAAGGAGCCCGCCGTCCTTTTCCCGGCTTTATGATTTGTTGTGTTTTATAGTCCAAGTGGTTTAGCTATTAGTAGTATATCGGAGATTGGGTTTTAGCTGAAGGGAGA